ATTCAGAAAGTGTTCACAACATTTCGCATTTCGCACAGCTGTAACCTCGATCATTCTATCCCTATCTTCCGGATGGTTCTGAAAGTGCACCATCAAAAAATGCAGGAATATACGGTTGAATGATTTTTTTTTTCCAAGAGATGACCCTTTCGCTGAGTACAATCGCAGCTATGGATCGGAAACCAACTAGTGTCCGCTAAATGACAGTTTCAGTAGTTTGCTGTCGGTACTGACGCAAGTTATTCCGATCTTCATCTATTCGCAAGTTCTGGAGAAGGCTGGTCTGTTTTCAGGCTGTATTGACAATGTTTTATGAATTTGAGGAACACGCTCACTTCACTCTTCTCCACCAGATGCTCAGTCGTTGATGGTACCGTTCCATCGGACGTTCTGGTTCTTCTAAAGAACTAAATTTTACTGCAATCGTCTTCCCTTCGGTCGTTAGCATAGCTTGAATTTTTCCTCCAACTTCGTTTATCCTTCGAGATATCATTGTCATAAATTTGGTTTTTATTCACTATGAGGATCCATCCTTAAAGTTCAATTTGTAAACAGAGGAGATTTTATGATACACTTTTAAAAGCCTTAAAGTCAACAATATATGCCTTTTACTCTCATTTAAAACCTAATGGTTTTATGATTGTTTTGATAATGATTGAACAGGTTTATCAAGACATTAATAAAAAAAATTGCTAATGAAGTTTATGATTGATTTATAGAACAGTTTTATGGTGGGATTGAGAACTACTTTAAATTTAAATTTAAAACAAGAAAGTTTTTGACTTCTCGCCAGACTGGAAAAGGTTTTCAAAACAGCGAAAAGGTGAACTACTAAGCAGGAACGTTTTACACTGTAAAATGCTGTATTTAAACTAAATGGATTGTTCATTGCCTTTAGAAAACCATCATAAATCATAGTAGATGCCAAATGATTGCAGAATTGTTACTTGGGTAATTATATATGATCTTTCGAGCAGCACATTCATCTGCTCCCTTAGCTTTGAAAGGAAATAATATAAGTGCCTACCTGTTTTCATCTACCTCAATCGAACTGAGACTATCCGAGAAGATGAAGTAATGGTCTGCGGGCATGTTGGATATCATTCCCAATGCAAAGTTGATTGCTGCCAACTCAGCAACATAAACGGAACAAGGTTCCTGAAGTTTGCGCTAGGTGCTAGAGTTTTCATTGAAGATACCGAAGCCAGTGGATCCATTGAGACGGGACCCGTCTGTAAAATATCTTTTCACGCAATTGACGAGTTGGTACTTTTCGGTAACAATACGTGGAATAATAATAGTTCGAAGTTGATCTGGAATCTCATGAATCCCTTGTTTCATGAACAGATCATATTCAATTCAGGAACTGCTAATGGTAAAGTGAGCACGGTCTGGAGTATACCAAGGAAGACACATATCCGAAGATATGTAGTGAAGGTAGATTCTTATAAATCGAGATGGTATGTTCAGCCCAAGAATTTCTTCAAAAATTACAATTATAAGTGTGTTTGTCCCTCCGTATTTGATTAGTATTCTAGAACAGAAATAATTCTAGATAGAGCTGGAATAACGGCGTAAGAGCCTTTGTAAACAATTACTTCTTTCTTTGATTTCTAGGAATTCAAGGCACGCTTACACAAAACAACATATCAATCGGGTAGGAGAAGTCTTCCTCTACTTGATGGTGATGTCGATTTGCCAGGGAGGGCGATGAATTTCAAGAAATCATCGAGAGAAGCAATTGTTTAAAAAAGCCGTTACGCCCTAATTCCAGCTCTACCTAGAAAAGTTTTTGTTTTGTTTATTAATTTATTTGATAAGGCTCAACTGAATTAACTTTGCAGAGCCGAGGATTCTTGTTCACTATACAATACATCTTAAAACTAAAGTCAAAAGAATCTAGAATTGTTGTTTTATAAAGTGTTATCAGGTCTCCCGGATGAGTATTTAATTTCTCCATTACATATATTTACTATACATAAATAAATACTGGGTTGGGTGGGAGCATCAGGGTATCATTTGACCTGAAACTGAACGATGGAGTGGTATGAAAACCGGAGACTAGGAGTGAATAAACACTATCATTTTCTTTAACCTACCGGTTCGATTGGGGTGTTTTGAATGATATTACAACAGTTTCAGTGAGGTTGATGCACTCTTTTTAACACACCATCCTGTAGAAAGCTTATGAAGTACCGTAAAACGGGGTAGCTTCGACAGATATTTTTGACGTAGGACTACGTCTGTGATTTCTATTTTACACTTTTTACACTTTATAAAAACCGAAAATGGAACATGTAACAAAATTATGAAAGATTTTGATCGTTAATAACTCATAATAATAACTTATCAGCAATCGATCAGAAATATTCCTACGCATGAATGTGCAACTGTTACTATGATAAATAAAATAAGATTGCCTGGGAAAAGCGATTTCCCTAACACAGATTTCAAAGTTGAATTGCATCTGGTCTCATCAAACGGTGTTTATTCAATCACCGTGTAGTGAGTGATGGTGTTCTCCAGTACGCAACGAAAGGCGGGGCCCCAACCGTTGATCGGATTCAGATCCAATCACCATGGGTGGTGTCCGGTCGTTGGCATCATGCTTTCGGCACGTGGCATTGACAATTGTTCTCCAGTACACAACGAAAGGCTGCCTGCAAGCAACGAGCTGGAGCCCACATGAGCATCCATAGAATAAGGAAGAAGCCGCACCGCTATTGATCGGAATCAGTAGCTCTTCGTGAGTCGCTGTGGGCCATCTATGCCAAGCGCCCCAAGCAACCAACAAGCCAGCTAATTTGGCTTTTGCAATATAAGGCTAATATGCGGCTAATATAAAGCTTAGCATTCCCCGTGCATCAGCCTTATTTTGCAAAAAGGCGAATTAGCGGGCTTGTTGGTTACTTGGGGCGTCACCCTCATTCCAAACAACATACAGCTCACCAGCCTCATCTGTGTTAAACACCCTTATAGCTCAGCATTACTCAACCATCACGACAAAACGGTTCTTTTCAGGACCACCATAAATTTGTAAAAGAGTATTTTTTGGATATTTGTCAAGGTTATCAATCGGATGTCAGTTCCCATATCAAGATAGAGCTGGAATTACATACCATGTACTTTAAGGCAACATTGGGCGTGCAATATCAAAAACCAAAATCGGTCGCGGCATGGAAGTGGTCTGATTCTGGTACAGTGATGATGGATTTTAATTCTTAATACGTCAATCGATAGGATTTTTTTCTACGAATCTGTTAAAATTAAGACTTTATTATTTTTCAAAATGTCAGTATTGAAAATTGCACGAATGTACAACTGTTGCTATGAAATGTAAGAATGTTTGAACATATTCTTACAAACAATTAAGTTGACTGCAAGTCGCTTAACCGTACATCAGTTGCTATGCTAATTCAAATAACCACCAATGGCCTGTGAAAAGCGAATTCCCTAACACAGATTTCAAAGTTGAATTCACAATAATCATAAGTGAAAGTTTGAGTGCCTTTTCCATCGGGGCAATGAACACGAAAATTGTGTTTTAATATGTTTGGAAAATATGTAACACGTACTACACAAAAACTCTTTACGATATCAAGGACAATACCCTAAGCTACAATCTTTGGAACCAATGATTTCAATTTGGAAACGTGCAGGGAAAGTGAGTAAATTTGATTGTTATAATCTACTATCAATGTTACCCGCATTATCAAAGATACCCCATTTTACGGTATTGTGAATTGCGTTATTCGATTTTTTGGATCGTATCGTTGGAAGGAGATTCTTAAAGTGGACCCTACACGGTTGATTTTATTGACAATAATTGTATTGTCCATACATTCTATATTGACGTCAATACATCGGTATTCACAATATTTTTGTGTTCACATCATCAATATTATGGTCAATAATTCCCTTTCGTGTCAATATATTGATACGTGTGGGGTTCGCTTTACAGTGTCTCTGTTTACGAATCCGCCCCTCCGTGGTTGGCCCTTCATACAGCGATATTTTTAATTCAAATCGGTAGCTCAAATTGATCCTGCTATTAATTGGAACTGCATACAAGACAAGATCTTCGAAGGGATGGTGGCTACCTTACATACAACTTTATAAAATGGTTATTCAAAAAAAAAAAATCAAAAATCACATGAAAATATTGATTCTTTTCGATCTTTGTTATCTTTCCCTAATATTTTTAGCACAACCAAAACGTGCCAAAACTAATTTTGTTTTCGAGGCGGTAAGCTGCGCGCTACGGAAAAAGATGATTGTTAATATTGACGGATCCGTGGATTTATTTAGCTTAATTCATTTAATGTCGAAACAAATTTTGCTAATAATAAAACATGCTCATTAGATAGGCTCAACATGACTTATTAGCCTTTTGCTTTACGCCAAGTGCTCCGCGCATATCAACATGCTCGTATATATGCGAGCACTTGGCCACTTTAAGATCTTCGATAAAGTGCTTCTGCAATCTAATTCTATGTTTTTTTTATTAATCTTAGTCGAACGTCTTGTTTAATTGAGCAACTTTTGACAAGCAAATGAATACATAGTTTCGTTTCATTTATCATCCATTTTCTCATACAGACTTTAAAATACTCCCGCAAATCCAGATCATATACTAATGCGTTAGAATTTTTCACACGTAATGACCCACCCTAATGCACTGCATTGCCAATTACAATTGACAAGCCATCGCTTGATGGCCATGTTCATTTCATGATAGTGACAAATGCTGTTTTGTCAATATCGTCGTGTATGATCGACTAATGCACTAATTCAAATTAAATATCCCAGGTACCGTGTCATATTTGAAGGAATCCCAAACGGTATAGCACAAGAATCAAAGCGTAAATTCAACGTCAAGTCTGATAAGACGGGTGTAAATATTTACTTGCATACTTGTTAGTGACTGCACAATCGAGATAGCACCGTATAACAGTCAAATATAAATACGGAATGCATCACAGTAGGAGCTCGTAGTACATTCATTCTAACAAGATGATCTTGAAGTCAGTTTATTTCTTCCTTTCACTGGTCGTGGTAGAAAGTTCTCTCATTGAGTGGACTGATGGCAACTTTTCTACTGGTGATCAAACTTCGTCAATCGTTGCCGAACTAAATGACGTCAACGTGTTAGTCTTTGGATCGGAAGCCAAAAGTGCACCACAATCCTGCAGCGATGTTCCATACCGTCGATCCGGCATTCATCGCATTCAACCGCAGTTCGGTTTCAATGATCATTTTCTGGCTTTATGTGATCAAGAATACTCCGCAGGAGGCTGGACCGTAATTCAGAACCGATTCGATGGATCGGTGAACTTCTACCGTAGCTGGAGCGAGTACGAAAACGGTTTCGGGGACCTTCGGGCAGAATTTTGGCTGGGATTGAAACGTATCCACGAATTGACCTACACACGGCGGCATGAGTTGCACATTCTTCTACAAGATTTCGACGGAAGGACGGTAGTTGCTCAGTATAGTGACTTTTCGGTGGCAGGACCTGCGGAGAAATACAAAGTTAACAGCGTGGGAACGTACAAAGGGGATGCTGGCGACTCCTTCAGCATCGTGGTGAATCAAACCTTTTCAACCTTGGATGCCGATAATGATTCACTTCCAACGGACAACTGTGCTGTTATGTACAAAAGCGGTTGGTGGCACAAGGCCTGTCATCTCAGGTAAGATGGTGGAAGATTTTGACTTGACGTGCCGCCATTAATTTTTCCATTCATTGCAGCAATCTCAACGGTCTATACCTGCCAGGAGCAAGGAAAGAATATGCTACGATGCTGTGCTGGGAATCCTTCCGAGGATACAACTATGGCCTGAAACGGTCGCGAATGATGATTCGCCCGGCCAGTTAGTTCATACCCTTCTATGGCAACTAGTGGAATTGTAGTTCAATAAAATTTACTTTGCAAATGTGTCCTCAGTTGTTATTGTTATTGTTGACTGTCAGCCTTTGAAACCTATCGCTACATGATGTTGAATGCTGTTCGAAAGCTCAATGATACTGTATGTCCAGGAATGTTGACCAAATGTGTAGACCGAAAATATCAGCGAACAGACCGGGAATCGGCACTCTAGCGACGGTGGTACATTAATTTGAGTGTAGTCCTTACTCCCCGCCCTTGGGCAATAAAATGTCTGCTCGACCCCAAAAACAAACACACCAATTGAAAGGCTGTTGTGCTATATTTTCTGGACTTAAAGGATTGACGAATTTCTAGAAAATCCCATTCCTGCGAGGGTCAAACCATACCCAATCCTATTCTAATGAACGTCCCATCAATTTATCCGACTGACAGAGTCTAAGCAACTGCAGTGCAATGCAACGCACAACAATGATTTGCTCATTTAGCGATGCAAATTCCACCTAGCGGGCGTTACTTCCCCCAGACCATGTACGTCTCAATAAAATCAATCATTATTATTGTATGCAAAGTGCCGCGACTACCGCGGATGGATTCCTCAATGATGTAAACAGTAGTAAATCAGAAGCGACGCGCGGCCCGATGTTTTATTGTAGAAATCTGCAATTTATGGATCGACCGCCCTCTTCCAGCAAATCTGCAGTGTTACCGCACTGGTCACATTGAAGCAGCTGGAGTTAATTAATCGTGCACTAAATAAGATAACACCGATTGGTAATTAATGATGCATCTCATTTCGCGTAGGTTCGAATGAAAGTAACTACAAGTCGAATCGGAAAGATAAGAGTGAGGCCTTGGATGGCAAGCCTTCGTGACTAATTGCCCCCTTCCGATTGCAATTCTTCATCAGACGAGACAATCACTCATCATAGCCGCACTCGGCTGTGACTGAGGGCGCCACCTTGTATCTTGCGGTATAGTACAAGAAAGAAAACGCAAGAAAATAACAACTTCGCAATCACGTTCGAACCAGCGCTGCCAGACATTTCTGTATTTCCACACAGACTACAGACATTTGAAATTAAATACAGATTTCATTAAGATTTTTACTGATGGGTTCCTACAATTTATCATAAAATAAACAAGTTTAAGTGGACAGACAAATACGGACTTTTGGTAAAATCATCTGCCATCCCTGGAACGAACGTACGTACGTTCCTAGGACGAGAAGAGAGCATGGTGCCCGTAACAAGATAAGAAAACGTGTTCTTATTTGACATTTCACACAGCACACCACCAACAACGATCGAAATGACTAGACGTCATCATCGGAACAAGTCTGCAGTACACGGTAGAAAAGCATTGCACTGGGTTGATTGGCCCACACGATCGATTGGAAGTTCTTGAGAACTCATGTTTCGCTGTTACCTACACATCTGGGCCATGTCGCCTTCGTCGCGTTGGTGCCGAGTTTGAGTTCAGGTCAACTCGTAAATCATTGCTAATTAGAGGAGATATTTGTGCGAAACACAGGTCCGTTAGGGTGGCCCAAAATAACACTTTGTCTGGAAACCTCACTCTGAAAAACGATGACATTTTTGAAAATAGACAATTTTTCATAGTTATAGCTTAATGAACGTACCGTAACCATTTAACCTTTAAAAAAATATGTTACACATTTTGTGACTAAGTATCAAAAACTAAATTTATCACATAACAAAAAAACGGATCATCATCCATTCAACTGGTTGATTGAAATTAGTTTTTGGGGTGGCTTTCTCAGTCTTGTAAGTAGAATCACAGACAAACAGACGTAACTCTTTGAAAAACTTGTTCTTGAAAACATAGTATCTCAAAACATATAACCTCAGTAACGACATCTATCTGGTTTCTCGCGGAAAACAAGCTTGCTCGCTAACTCGTAAACAATATTGCATAAAATTTCTATAGAATATATAGAAACGTCAAAGTGATCCGATGCCAGCGCTGCGGCGAGTAGTTCGCGGAACTGATAATATTCAAATCAACCGTTAAATGCATGAACGAAGATACACTATGAAGAGTTACGTCTGTTTGTCTGTGGTAGAATGGTGTTCGCTACCACGAAAAGTGATGAAAGTACATCGATGCGCCACCTGGATGTCAGCGCCAACAATGAACAACCTCTCGTTCATCGACACCGATAAACGCCCAAAGGGGAAATGTATATTGGCGTCTTGCAGTGAAACTTTTCCAAGCTTTCGCCACCTACATTTCGAAGTGAGAACTAAGAAGGAGGATAGTTTCTAAATTTTCCAAGTAAAACAGATGCTTTTTGGGGCAAATCGGTTCATAAAGAAAAAATAATAATTTCCCATGGAAACTTTTGCTTGAATCGTGTAAGAAAACGTGTTTGCAAACTAACTGTCATTATTTCGGTATGGATCGGAGATGTTTTCATGGCAAATTATGCATAACAAGTTAGCACCCACAGGGAGAGGTTACCTCCTGCGCAGCTGCATTTTTCAGAAAATGGTAAATATGTGCGATTTTCACTAAGATGAAAGTGTAAATTAAGTGAATTTACTTAGGAAAGGTTGTATCATGCTGATGGTAATAGAGAATTGGTTGTATAGGAAGCCAATATTCAATAAATGTTCGCTTTGGCCTTTTTTAAGCAAACATATTGATACTCATAATTTTCGACGGAAAACGCACCGGAACTTGATTTACTTAACACGTACCATACTATAAAATGGTGCTAGATGGTCTTCAAAGTGATAACAAGATGACAAATCATCTTTATTTTGAGTAATTGAGCAATTTACTTCTGTTTACCATCATATTTACGATGCAGCATTGATGGAGCCGTGAAATGAAATGAATATATCTTATGAAAGTTCACCTGGAAAAGTCAAAGATGCACATCAGTCTGATTGTAAAAACGTTTTCTTCTTCAATTCGAATGTTATATTAGAAGGATTTCACGCAGGCTTGATGAAAATTATGATTTAATGCTAATTTTCACGAATTTTATATGCAGTCTGTCAACATTATCATCATCATGCAGTGGCGACATCTGCGTTGAGCTTTTGCGGCAATCTTCCAATTGGTAGCATGGCGTTGCATCGTCTTCCGGAGCGCCCCTTATAAAAGCCGAAGAGTGACAGGAGTCATCCTCTTTTTTTTCTGCAAGCGACGTCATCATCAGCGGTCAACAATCATCAGTGCGAAGTATATGAATCAAAACAAAGCGATAGAAGTTGAATGAAGTGCATTGATATTGTAATTAATGTGAAATTAAGTAAATTATAGTAATTTGAATTGAACTTAGTTTAAAAATAACGTGCGTTTAAGTTAACTATTCGCGAGTGAGTCCTCACTTTTCCGAGAGACTGGTCCGTCATCAAGGAAACCTGCAAATAATGAAAAGTGAGTGAAACAACTTACCTGCTGCATACACAGAAAAAAAAAGTTGTTGAATATTACATCCAAACTGCTGCAACCAGGTCAATCCATCGGTTGTGTAATATAACGTTGTACGATGTACATAGATTTTGCGAACAAAATTAAATCCATTGATGTAATATTGTATCTGCTTTTTGCTATTACATCATTATTTCATACATCAGCTTGAATTACATTGATCGATATTACATTTTTTTTTGCTGTGTAGTCCTGTCCGTCGTTCTTCGGCTGGATTAAAAAATTCTGCTGCTGCTCGCTGTGCTCTCGACATTTCGGTCCTTCGAACCGGATACCGTCGAATCGCCATTGTTCCGGCTGAATAACTTGCTACGGAACGCCATCTTCCTGAATCAGCTATTGTATACCATACAAGGCAAATTAATTGCCTCGATCAGTTAATTAATATTCCTATTATTTATATTGTCTTTATTTCTGGTTTTGTGTGAGCTACGCGGGTCTTTCGCTTTCAGACCCATCATCTGCACTCTACGACTTCCACTACTTCAACTAATTTCATCCGTGAGGGAAACCCTGCTGTAATTTCTGCCACGACGCAGAACGGTTGAATTCCGCATAATTCAAGGCAATTTAGTGCCTCTAGCAGGTAATTAGCTCTCCAACTTCATTTATTTTCCTTTTGTGCGTGCTACGCTGGTCCATTGTCCACAGAATTGCTGCAATGTCGACCGAGCGCCGTATCAAGTCGTTGAAACTGCGACTAAAAAGCCTGGTGACGTCGCTGAATCTTATAAAATCGTTCGTCGACGACTGCGACGAAGAAACGCAAGTTGATGAGGTGTCTGTGCGGTTGGAGAGTCTGATTAAACTATGGTCGGACTACAACACCGTCCAGAGCGAGCTGGAAACACTCGACGAAGCTGCCATTGAAGTCTATTTAAAAGAGCGGACTTAGCTGGAGTCTGCTTACTACCACGTGAAGGGCTTTCTGCTGGCCCGTAATAAAATTAACTACGTAAAACTCCCCGTATTCGATGGAAAGCTGGAGAATTGGATGAATTTTCACGATTTGTTTGTGTCGTTGGTTCACTCGTCGGTTGGTCTATCGAACATACAAAAGTTTTACTATCTTCGATCGTCGTTGTCGAATGCAGCCTTTTCAAAGTATCCCAATTTGCGCTAGCAATTATCCAGTGGCTTGGAATCTTCTGCTGGATGCGGTCGTATGTGGAAGCTCTTTTCGACTTCACTTCACTCAAACGAGAATCGGCAGTGGGACTCCACAGTCTGGTAGAGAAATTTGAGGCAAATGTTAAGGTTCATCAGCTTGGCGCACGAACGGAATACTAGGTAATTTTCTACAGAGTTTTTTTTTCCGTGATGCAATTTGATGTGGGACACCCTTTAGATAGCATTTGCAATCAACTCTCTATTTTTAAATTACACACTTAGAAATAACCCAACAAACAATTTGAGTTGATTAATAGCAGACCCCCTTCACTATTTGGAATTTATAGAGACAGATAACAGCGCCAAACGGTTTTAGACGAGACAACGTTGAACTGCTGCGTTGGAAGAAAACACGCATGCCAACATCTATGTACGAACCCACACATCTGAGCG